TTAGAGTGGCCTCTAAATCCCCATTATTCAATCTTTTTCCTGGCAAAGTCATAGAGACAAGTTCTGCAAATTAAACATGCACAAGTTTGACCATCTACCTGCGTAATCAGAGCAGGAGAGACCAATCAGATGTACGTTCAGATATCAGTACCATGTCAATATATACACGCCTTGAAAAGCAAGCAAAAAAAACCAAACAAAGCTCCCTTGACCAGACTCTTCAGAGACAGAGTTCTCTCGAATCCAGAAATCTGCTTTTATGGTACTCAGGGAATCACTGTCCAAAGTAAGCAAGAGCAAATGTATCCCTTCTTCACGTTTTACAAGGTGTAACAGGAGAGAGGACTTTTAATTAGGTGCAGGACAGTCATCAGTAGCTGCTGTGGGAAATGTGACTTAAGTGATGCCAGGCCATCATTCACTGTGGGTCACCATTCCTCAATATTCAGCTTTCCATTTCTAGTTTTTGATTTCCTAGACTGCATTCCCACATAATTCATTATTTCAGAAGCACTCACACAGGCACTTCTGCATCTCATTGGGTTAGTAGATTGTTGTAAATTTCTTGTCAGATCTGATAGGAATGTCCTAGAAATATCTGATACTATTTTATGGTGGTATACACAGTCTCTGAATATTTTTTGGGCCAGACTATTTGAACTCTGACTTTGTGGCTCTTGAAAAGAGTCTTAAGCAGACTAGGATATCCATCATAGTGAGTCTTCCCAAGAGTATTTTTGGAGAAAATGCTTTTGAAGTTAGTATTTATTTCCTAGATAAAATCTGAAATTCTTTAGGAATGGATGAGTGGCTTGTAAATAGAAGGTTGTGCAGGGTGCTAGCAACTGAACTGAAGAGAAACGACATCTCATGAAAATTATTGTGGAATTTAGTACTGATATTTCATGGTTTCAGGTTAATAGTTTAAGTTCAAGAACTTTCGAGAAGAGAAATTAAGACATTACTGCAAGAATGTTGTCTAACCTTTTGGCAGGACAGTGTCACAATTAGCTGACATCAAAAGTGAGATGACAATACTCTTAGTTTCGGAGAAGAATGAATTTTATTTTTATTTCATGTTTTTCACTCAGTTTGAGAAGAGTCTGTGTTATCTGAGATTCTCAGGATAATTTTATTCCTTTAAAATCAGTTATATCTATGCAAGTACGTGAGTGGAAAAGTTCTGGCCAGATTTGAACTGGATTTGCTAACTGTTGAAAGAAACATGGGAAGAAAAGATGTTGACAGATGAGCTCTGGTGGATGGAGCTGAACCAGTTTTTTTTACTGCTACCAATGCTAGCTGTCAGTCTTGCTGTTCTGTTGCAGGTGGTTTTCCTCATTGCACACGTGGGACAAAGCTATTTAAGCTAAAAATGGACTGTGAACATGGCTTTCAGATTTTGTGCATGTTAGCTGCCTCTATCCTAGATGAGAAGGCAAGCTCTTCATTTTAGAGTTTCAGCAGGTTTTATTTATTTTTATAGGTTTTATTTGGGCCCCCTGTCCTTCTCAAAGGAGCTGTCGTGTTAGGTCTTACTGAATTATATTTTGCTGTCAGAGAAATGGAAACCTTTTTTTCAGTCAGTCTAGGTGGTATAACTAGAATTCTCTTTGCTCTCAATGCAGCATGCAGAATCATGATTTCATGCAGGTTATTTTAGTTGATTCCTGCTGGGAGGTAGGATCATGCCGAATTTTGCCAGCTGTAGTTTTCAGGTGCACCATTGTGTCACTTTGTGTAACATTCATAACTAGAATGGTGCAGCAATTTGTCCTAAATCCATGCCATTAAAACTTGTGACATATTTCAAGTAACACATAGAATCACAGGGTATTCTGAGTTGGGACTCACAAGGATCATAGAATCCCACTCTTAAGAGAGCAGCCATACAGGGGTCAAACCCACAACCTGGGCACTACTGTCATCATGCTCTAATCAACCAAGCTAATCTCAGTGGTTGTGAGGTATTTTGCTTTGCTGCAAGCATATGTCTTGCTTTTCTTATTTCTAGATAACTTCCTCAGGTAATGTTACAGTGCTTAAGTGCTGTGATGTGGTAGAGCTGAGTTTCATATGAGATGTCTCACTTGTCACTAAAGCAACAATCCTTTGACTTACTGCTGCAGTAAAATCCATTCATACCATTGGGATATTGTCAGATGAGTTTTAGTCTGAAACTTGAATAAAATCAGTCTGTAATTTTAGAGATTCCTTAATATTGTTGAAGCCTTTCTGAATGCTGAAGTCTGTTGGCTATCTTGAGGAGCTGTTGAAGCACTTCAGCTATTTTGATTCTCTGAGAAAACTGAAGCATGAAGTTTCCAACTAGAGAAAGTGATTTCGGCTGGAGAAGGGTATTCATTATAGTAGCATCAACATTCCATTGATAATGAAAATTTGGGAAGAAGTGTTATGTAGTAGCTCCTTAGAGTAGTGGGAAGCCAGATGTATGATGAGGTGAAAAAAGCAAGATTAAGAAATAAACCCTGAGAGCAGTTCTAATATTCAGAAAACTACTTAAGCTGATGTGATCTGCCACTCTTGGGGTCCAGTACAGTGATGCTCTCCAGGGCATCCCATCATGTCTGAGTACATTACTATAAAAGACACTTTGTCAAATGCTAATTTGCAAAAGTTCCTTCAAATGTCATGCTTATAGATCCCTTCTCCTTAATTTTTTATGTTCTCATGATACATCATAAGAGGTGTGGAACCAAAACTGTTATTGAACAGAATACAGGGCTGCTGCTGTTCTAGCTCTCCTGGTGGTTTCTGCCCATTATGTTGTGCCAACTCTGCTGTAATGGGGAAAACCCTGTGTTTATGACTTTAGGGAGTGCACTTTAGTTTTCATTACATTAAACTCAGTGAATTATTTTGCCAGGTGGATTCACACATCTGTCTGTGCATGCCATCTCAAAGGAGATGGAAGGAGCGCAGATGGTGGTGGAATAGGGGTGGTATTAAATCCATCTCAAAAGAGATGGAAGGAGCACACAAAACAGTGGAATAGGGATGACATTAAATTAGTGTTAACTTGAATTGGTTTATGCAGTTGAGAAGTGGTTTATTTCCTTAATTCAGGGAAACATTGATGAATAGTAGGGAGTTCGGAAACCACGTCTTGAACTTTTTCTTCTCTCAGCTTTAAGGCTTGACAGTGTCTTGCAGTCCACTTTCAAGATGGCCATGGAAAAACAAAACTAGTAATTTTTGGTGGTGTTGATTTGTCTTCAGTTTTAATGGCATTGTTTTAGTTATTAATGTTGGGATTTCTGTTGCCTTTTCTCTGGGTGTAGAACAAGTTACAAGCCTTAACTAATTGTCTGGTTGTGTATATTTTGTTGTGTCTTTTGGGCTTGTATTTTATTTGGTTTAGTCTTTACTTCCTCATCTTCAAACATTATCTTGTGCATTGTTTCTGCCTTGTTTTAAAAGGGGTTTTTTAAGCAACTTTCAAAACTTGGACTGAGAGAGTAGCATAGTGCCATAGCATGACAGGGAAGGTTGGAAGAATTCTTCATAGCTTTTTATCCATTAGGTACACTTGTGTTTCAGTGCAAATGTAAACACGATTTTAATGTTTAAAATTTGTCATCTGTTTTGCATTTCAGACTTCTTTACTTTTAATAGTTCAAGGATCATTCTTTAAATGCAGATTTGTCACAATTGGAATCCTATAAGGATAGATCTGTTAGAAATGGTAAAGATTTGATTTATAGATAAGGCAGTCAGAATAATTATAGTATGAAAGTCAGCATGATAGATTACATCATGTCCAATTCACAGCATTATTTAGAACCCTTCACCTAAAATGAGTAGCTAATGCAGTGTTTCAGCAGGTCTATATATTTGTCTAAAATGGTCGGGTTAACACTGTCTTCATATATCATACTATAGCCATACTGTATTAGTGCAAGCTATACCCTAATTGTGCTGAATGCTGTATATCACATTGATGATGGATTTTGCCTTTTGAGATTTATCAGTTCTAGGTGATACACAAATAGAAAATACTTGTGAAGGCCAGTGGCCATGTTTGGACTCAGAAGTGTGCCAGCAGGTCTGCTCTCACGTTTGGTGGGTCAGATCAGTGACTTGGAAGTTATGTCACTTGTGAATTTCTTTTAGTAGGGGTGAGCAGAACAAACAGTAGCTGCCATGTAGGGCTTAGGTTGGCTTATGTGAAGTCTAGAAAGTGAGTATATTAAGTAATTTTGCCTAAAGGATAAAGGAGACAAAGACAATGCAGAGAGCATGCCATAAAATTCTGTTCTTTCCCACATCAATCTCATGAATCACCCTGCACTTTGCTCTCCAAATGAAATGCAAGAAAAAGTGTTCCATGATCTGGGTGTATGGCGAGAAAAGTACAGGGAGGAGTCGAGGACTGCAGGCACAATGATGAGTGAAAACAAACAAGGCAGCTGCTCTGACCAGCACTCTGTCAGAGGGAAAGATGGAGTCACACTCTCAGCTTGCTAAGGCCTGCAGTGAGATCTTGTAAATAGTGTGGAATTGATTTAAATAATGAAATATGGAAAAGAGTGTAAATTGGATATGCATCCTCTTAACAACCACAACTTTTCTCATAATTTGTATTTTAGTATTTAGAAAGCTAAGCAAGCTGACTTAAAGTGCTATGCTGTATTTTCTATTTCTGCATGTCTGGCTTTCCTGAGTTGCATCATAACTGTATTTAAATTTGCTTGGTGTTTTTTGCTGATGAAAATACATAGCATAAGTAGCCCAGTTCTTTGTGGATATGAACACCTTAAGGATTGGGGTTTTTGTAACTGTTACATTTTCCCTTTTCTATTTGGTTTTTTTTTTTTTTGTCTGTTGTATTTGCTTTGATGTGATGGCATTCTTTTCAGCTTGGCATTTAGACAAAGGTTTCTGATGTATTCTTGCCATTGTGTGTCATAGCTAGCTTTTAACATTTCACATAAAATTTAGCCTGACTTTTTTGTTGATTTTGTTCTGGTTTTCTACAGTGGACAGGCCAAAATCCCAGCAAATCAGAACTTCTGGTACCATAAGGCGAACTTCTTCTTTGGACACAATAACAGGACCTTACCTCACAGGACAGTGGCCACGTGATCCCCATGTACACTACCCTTCATGTATGAAAGATAAATCTACTCAGGTAAAAGCAGTAAAACAAGACAACAGACATGTTTCATATAATTGATGTCTACTCAATTTAATTCTGAAGAAATGTGGATTCACTTAATTTTATTGGAAATACAAAATCCTAAAATAAGTTACAGTAGTCTTTTTTTAATCTTTGCTAATGCAGTAACATGGTATGCGACGATAATATTTTTATGCTTTTAGAAAACAGTTGTTAAAAATAATTTTCTCAATGTGGGCAGAGCTATTGAGGCTAAATAAGCAGCTACCAATCTCAGCTTTGTATCGGGTTTATTTTGAAGCTGCTGTATGCAAAATTGTGCTGAGTATTATTTAAGAAAAAGCGTCCATATAACAATGGCTGACAAACGGAAAGATTTTACTAAATCATGGTAATAAATCTGTCAGTCTCAAAAACTGTGTGTTTGTCTGTGTGTGTGGAGCTGAGAGAAGGCCACTAAGGTTATTCATGCCTGATACTCTTGTGATAGCCTTGGATTCTCTTCAGGGCTCTGTCCTTAGTAGGACCCTCTGGCAGGTAGGTTGTTGGGGCATTCTACTGCTCTAGTGCTCTTTGACTAGAAAGGTGAATGTTCTTTCTTGCCTGCTTCCTCCTTGTGCTGGAGCTTGTTGCCTGCAAAGATGATCACTGTCAAACAGATAAAAAAGACATAATTCTAACCACCCCTCCCCAATTATTATCAAAGGAGCTGCATTCTTTTTTCCAGCAATGCTTTTGAGGTTTGGAATAAGCTATCTGAGTTCCTCTTCCAAACTAAATTGGAAACTAGAAGAAACTAGCTCTCTTTAGTTACAGTTTCAGTCTAACAGGCCATGTAGATTTGGTTGTTAAATCAGTTGTTTATCTTTTGTGCCACAATTCTGATCCATAGTTATCATGGGTCTTGAAATAGATTCTATGATTCTAGTCTTTTGTGTAATACTGAGTTTCTCAGGACAAGTTAGAATGCATATAGAAGTTTCCTCATCTCTAAAATATGGTGTTATGCAGCACAGGAAGCCCTTTGATGGGGTAAAGATAAGCACAGAATGCTTAGAAAAGAAAAAAAATGGGTCTGTATGTTTCAGAAATCTTAATGAATTTGAGAAACTGATGATTAAAATGTTCCAAGAAAATTTTTAGAAAATGTAATGAGGACCCTTTGGAAAAGACTGTCATCATGTCCTGCTTATTTTGAAAGGAGACGGTCAATTTTAGCCAAAAACCAGCAGTCATATTTACTGTCAAAAAGGTCTACTTAAAAAGCCCTTAATCCTGGATTTATTTTCAAGGTGCCTTATTTTCACAATATTATGACTTTAAAGTCTTTCTGTTTCGAAAGCTTTGTAGTTACTATATTTCTCAACCCCTCTCTTAAAATGCATATCCATATCTTTACAAATACTCATATGAATAGAAAATTTAGAATATTTAAACATTCACAAACATTTTCACTAGTTACAGAAAAGATAAACAAACTGTTCTATAAATATTTCAGCTCCAAGTATTTGGCAGTAAAATTGCTTTCCTAGTGAGCTCTAGTAAGTGTTCAGGTTATGTGAACGTTTGGCTGCCTCCCTTTGCCTCATTCAGAAACTAAAAATGAAATTTTACCTTTTCAGCATAAGTATAAAATAGAGGAAAAACATACTGTTGTCATTACAAAATGAAGTATTATTTCAAAGGGGTAGGAGCAGGAAGATCTCAAGGTTTGCATTTGTGGATGTCTTCCAGCACAGGATTATATTACCTGTCTTTTTATTCAAATTGTACCAGACTCAAGCATTTATCAGTGCTTAAGTTGAGTCACTAATTGGGACTATGAATATGTAAAATGGAACAAGTATATTGATATGCACAGTGATTTCTAGTTGGAGGGCTTTTTTTGTTTGGTGGGTGGGTAGGTTTTTGTTTTTGTTTTTTCTGTTTGTTTTGTGTTTTCCCCCCCCCCCCCCAAATAAAATGCTCACTAGGGAGGCTTGAAGATGATCATAAAATATTGTCTTATGTTTTGGTGTGTGTCCGGGTTTTTGTTGTTTGAGCTCTGTGTAGTTTGAAATATATCTAATTTCAAGAACTGAGGATGAATTCTAAGTCATTGATAGGATGCATGCATAGCAAATTAAGTTAAATAAAAAGAAGTTAATGAAAATCAATAAACCATTTTTCTGTATGAGTGTGTTTCATTGGGGAATAAATTCTCTTGTTTTACTTCTAAATTCAAGAACAATGCTGTCAGTATAACTTACATTGTAGGTAGAATAATTATTTCTCTTTCAAGGGTATATTTTGTTCCTAATTAAATGTTAACCTAAAATCCAAATTTGTGTAATTTTGTTAAGGTGGTGATTATGGCTGTTTCAAGTTTCTTAGAATTCTTGTTTTTAAAAAAATAGTGTTTCTGGTCTTCATGGTGATCAGATGAACCTTTAATGAGCTTTATTCCAAGTCCTTGTTTCCACTTAAATTCTTTCAACTTGTATGATACTCATGAATAAAATGTTTCTTCATAATAATATAAGGGAGGGAACAGAATTTTGCTTGGTTTAGTTTGTTGTATCTTATAGAATAGGAACTACAGTTTCTGTGTCCCTCTCACTTGCCCCAAATGTTTTGGGTGAAAATACAGAAGAGAAGTGAAGTGGTTGTTTGCTATTGGAAAAATGCACTGTAACACTGCATTGTGATATTTGTACAATTCAGTATTTCTCAGAATTCTGTATGTACGTTTGTGTGTGTATATGTACATGTGCATGCAACTAGCTGATCTTTAAGGAGCAGCACATTTTGGATAACCAGAGGTGTGCAATTTTATTTAGTAGTGTTTTAAGTATTTCAGAAATGCAGGTAAACTTCCTATCATAAGAAGTTATTTGTGTTGATATACTTTGTGATCCCCTTCCTGAGTTCCTCCATTGTCCTGCTTTCCTCTCCTTTTGTAAAATCTGAACTTTTCATTAGGATTTAAAACTCAATATCATTTCTTTCCCCATTTTTTCTGTCTCTTCTGGGAGCACTGATGTAACAATTTTGTACACCACTTCTTTATGCTTCATCATTTAAGTATTTCCCCCTTTACAGTGTAAAGAACAACTCAATGTTGAAATGGCTGTGTCTAACCTTGGAGTCTTCAGAAACATTTGGATAATTGTCAGAGTTGATAAATATTATTTGGCAGTAGCTAAGTAATTTAAAAGATATTTATAAAATTTAAAAAAAGAGATTAAAAGAAACATGATGTTGATGTCATAACAAAAGTATTCTCAGTTAAAGTTTGTCATGGAGTCTTTCTCAATCAAAATAATACAAAGAAATTAACAAATGGCCTAGCGGCATTTTATTATCCAGTGATTTCTAGTTGATGACTTGGGTATATCCAGCAGTATTGGAATCCAGTTTTTCTCATTGTATATGGCTATTAGGTATGGAACAAATGAAACTGAAGAAAGTTTGCAAAATGCCTTTCAGAATTTTTATTTCTCTTTAACCTAGAGAATAGTGCAGAGTTTCTAGGCTAAAATGTGGTCAAGGTAGGTGAAGGCTTTAATATAGGTAGCTCTCATTAGACACTTTTTTTTCTTCTGGGTAGATTTTTTTTTTTTGCTGTAATATTAACAGACATAAACAAAGAGGCTCAGTTCCATGAAGCTTTTTTACTGGTGTATTAGTTGTAATTGATTTTGTGGGATATTTTACGGCAGAAAGACCAGGGAATAAGATATGTTGTAGAGCTGTGGATTTGTCATTCTAACTTAACCTGTCTGATGTTTAAGAGTCATTATCTATAGTCAAATTGACTTCTAACTCCTCAGGCAATTTCTCTTTGTAAAGTTTCTAGATGGCCTTTGAATGCTTTAGAAATACCTGAAAACCCATCAGTTTTTATTTTCTAGTGCTGCCATTGCGTTTCTTTTGAATGTGAAAGTTCTTCAGAAACATTTTGCTTCCCCTGTAAAGCATAGACTTATGTAGATATTCCAGAATGCAGGCTGGATGTAGTAATTGGAGTGAAGGGCTGGCAATAAATATGAGATACTTAAGGTAGTACAGTCTTATTTTAGGTTTAGGTAGGTTGGTATGCTATGCAGTCATTCTGATCCAAGTGGAAAGAATGTAGGTGTATGTCCCTGGCATGAGTGGAAAAGCAAGGCAGGGTTACCAAATGTTTTGGAAGAAGTTCTGATCTCCACAAAGCTGGGTGAGTTAGAACTGTGGTAACTGTGATTTGAAGACTGAAGAGAGCAAACAGATGTGGCATTCTGAGCGTGTCTTATCCCACGTGTCAGCTGAACTGGACCACGAACCTTAACATGTTAAAAACAAGGGATCCATGTCTTGTCGGTACAGCATGCATTATCTAGTGTTTTCAGGGATCTCCCCTTAAAATCTTAGTTTCTTAGTGTGGCCTTGCAGGACTAATCCTTCTTCATGAAGTTCAGTGCATCACTTCTGTGATGCTCTGAAATGTTACGAGTTTCAGAGATAGTGCCTGACATCTCTTACTGTGAGAGGTACTCTTACTCTCTCTCTGACTTGAAGTACAGCAGCTGTGGTTTTGTTTGTGATTCAGAAATTTTTCTTCTAATACAATTCTGAATTACATTCTGGATTTAAATTTTTTTTTTTTTCATATGTTTAACACTTCAGAAGTACACTTACAGCTTCAAATGAAAGCTTCCGTTGATAAGCCTCTTTTGTGGAAGTTGTAAATAAGATGAGAAAACAATTTCCATGAAATGTGACAGATTGTGGGTGCTACACACCCCCATCTTATTTGTGATCTAAATGACAGCATTTAAGTGAGATTTGAGGTATTCATACATAAGCTAAACTTAGAAAATCAGAATTTCTGTTTGAATACAAGTCTGGGGTGCTTCTGTTTGTTTTTTAAAAGCTTTTGCTTGAATACAAAGATTTGTTGTTACAAACTCAAAATTATTCTTCATATAATGTGGATTACAACATATTGCAAGCCGCAATTTCCAGGGTTTGAAGAAGACTACCTTGCAATAATATTCTAGTAACTGCTTATGTATTATTTTTGTAAAGCTTTTTCTTTTTTAAATTTGCCTCTAAGTAGCACATAAATATAACAGTGTCTGACTTTAGTACTGTGTTAGGGACATCATACAATGTTTGTAATCTAACACTGCAGGTAGAACTGGGGATCACAAATAGTCTGCCCCCTGTATACTGTGTATGTCTACTTTGCAGGTTATGTCTTGACTCAGTTTACCTGGGGCTGAAAGCATCCGTGTAGTCCTTGTCTCAAGGGAGATGCTATTTGATTGGAAGAGAATGTCAAAGCATTCTTGAACAAGTACAAAATTTAGTATTACATGAATAGATATTTTCTGATTTTTATTTTTGATTTCTGAGTAAATCCTCTGCACTATACAGATTCCCACCTCTCTCTCCTAGCAGTCAGTGGTGCTGTTGATGAAGGTCTTTATGGGTTGATCTTAGTTTATGTTTTGTCCTTGCTATCTGGATCAGTATCTGTGTTTATTAAAAATACAGTCAGGCTCGTGTGTTCTACATATTTGTTTTGTTTTTTAACAGTTTACTTCTCTTTATTAAGAAAGTCAGTTTGGCTTTTTAGATTCTTGATATCTTTTCAGTTTATTAAGCTGCAGTTGAAAGGATATGAGCTTATAGTGATCCCTGGTGCAACCTTCTGCACTGCAGGTAAGTATTTAAGCCCCCAAACTGCCTGGTTCTACTTCATCCTGGTGTTCCCCAAATGGTGGAGCAGTGCTGTATTCAGAAAACACTTTTTAGAAGATAAATTTTCTTGGAATTCCATTTTATTGGTGGTGTTGTGTGAGGGTATGGTTCCAGCTGTACTTGGGATATAGTAAAATTTTGTAAGAGCAATTTAAATTGCAAATTGTAACAGATTGTGAAAGCCTGTGATTTTAAAAAAGTAAAAAATTTTCTCAATTTTCACTAGTTCAGTAGGAATCTGCAAGCTACTTCAATGTTAAAAACAAACAAACCAAAAAAAAAAAAAACCCAAAAAAAACCCCAAAAACATTTAAATCCAACAGAATGTCTTCCACACAAATTTCAGGGAGATGAATCTTCAAAACCAAGTAATTATTTAGAAGGTGGCTCCGTTAAAATGCAGAGCAAGCAGATGCACACAGTACAGGTAGCACATGCATACGGCAGAGGCTCTGCTTAGGGTCAGGAGAGTTAACTGCTGCCTGGCTGAGGGACTGCCTTGTCTTTCACATACTTTTAAGTAGCTGTTTTAACTTTTCACATTTGTTTTGTTTTTTTTTTTTTTTTCATAACCACATTATCTTCTGGTTTCTTCCCCAGGCCCAACAGAGCCATGTAATAAGTACACAGAACTCTTAACTTTTCATATAGGGACTTATTTTTTCTTTTCTGGGAACATGGAAGAAAAACTTCAAGACTGACTTTTTCCATTTGGCTTTCTAGTCACCCACACAGTTTGCTGGGCCTTTGGTTGAAGTATTACTGATGGTGTAAAAATAACAGAGAAAAAGCCCCACCAAAACTGTGGAAAGTGCAGGGGTGGCAGAAAACACAGGAGGGTTATGTAGACCTGTGCACACAGAGACTGAGCAGATGAGATATTAGCACAGATGAGTTAGGTGCTGGGCTGTAGGCTGTATAACACCATGGCACTGTGGTGGTTATGAAGGTGCAGCCCATGCTCTGAAGTTACAGTTCTGAGCTTGATACCGTGGCTGGCCCGGAGTGGCCTGGCCCTGGGGGCTGCTCCCAGCTCCCTTGCAGGGCAGTGGGGAGCTCTAGGGGTTGTTTCATGGTGTTCTCCAGAGTGGTGTCCAGCCTCCTGCCTGAGCCAGACAGTCTCAGGTATCCATGTGGGTACTACAAAAGCTTCTAGATCCTAGATGGGAAGCAAGAGTAAGCTGTGGAAGAGCAGGGTTTCCATGCATGAGAACAAATCCCACGGGCATGTGGATCCCAGATCCTATTTGTCTCGTGGGCTGGGGTTTTGTCTCCCTTGAAGAAGTATCAGCAGTGGTCCCCTCCCTTAAATACCCCATGGACAAATTGTTATTTTCAGTGGTACAGTTTTATTTCTTGTGTGCTTACTGTGAAAGAGTCAGCTAATACTAGTAGGAGTTGTTGGGGGAAAAAATCCCAACATAAGCAGATTTATATTTATGTGCCTATAGCACTGAGTTTATGTAGTTCATATGTCAAACTCTTCCTGAATTTTAGATGTTTCCATTGTTCTTGTGACTCTCTTGTTCAGGAATTCTGGTGGATAACCTCAATTTTCATTATAGCCTTGTGGCAAATAAGCATAGTGGTTGAGAGTTTGGCTTTCTGATGTTTCTCAGTCTTTGGGGTTTAATTTTAACTCCTACATCTAAGGACAGTCACTAGACTTACAGGCTTTGAGATATGGCTGGAAAAGGCCTGCTTGTCACTGTGCTGCTCATGTAAGTTGGTGCCAAAAATAATATATGGTGTATAAAACTCTTATCAAGTCAGAGTTAGGAGAAGGGATTGGTTTTGTGGTCCAATGGTTGAGGAAGACAAGCTTGAGTTTGTCCTACAGTTTTTTTAATGGTGTGGTTTTCTAAACTGTCCGCTAAGTGAAATGTAGACATGGATGCCCAAGCACAGTGGGAGCAGCCAGGTAAGGTTTTTTGTCAGGTGTTTGATTCCTTCTTCAGTAATGTGCATTGTTCTCATCCTTTGTAAATGCGAGTTTACAAAGCTTTGTTTTCTGTGTTGCTTTTTATTTATTGAGATTATTAGTGCTGCATATCAGATTCTGAAATTTATTCATGTAACTCTGACACTACCTAAAGAGTAAAGCAGTAATGTGTGCCAGAGGTTTTTCTCACCTGGAGAACTCAGTACAGCATATTTTCTTTTTTTTTTTTCCCTTGTAGACGCCCAGCTGTTGGGCTGATGAGGGAGCAGAAAAGAGATCACATCAGCGCTCGGCATCGTGGGGAAGTGCTGATCAGCTGAAAGAGGTGAGAAGTTTTGTGCAGTGGAGCCTTTCAAGTTTTGATAAGCCCAAGACATTTTTTAAACCCTATCTGGAGTCCAGGAAGTTGCACCCTTTCCCTCTCCTCTTTTGCTTTTGAAACAGGTTTTACCCCCAGTCTGAGAGTTGTTTGAAGAGTGATTGTTATTTTTCGCTTGTTGGACTTCCTCCCTGCATACTACGAAGTTGGTTGTGAAAGAGTGGCCAAAGTGAGCATTGAGGAACCAGCTTCTTGTTGCTTTCTGTTCAGTGTTACGTTAGTTTTCTGACCTTTAACACTGCTCACTTGGAAGAGGCAAAGTGTCAGGTGGTATGTTCACATATCCTTGGTCAGAAATTTTGTTCAGATTTTAGGTTGGAGATGGAGAGGACACCACTTCCACAAAAAAGTGTTGATACAGTAATGGTATAAGTACTTGAAATGCTCTTTAATCACAAATATTTTGCTGTAGACTATAATTGCAACTAGAAAGAACCTACAGAAAGTAGATTTGCATAATGAGAAAGTCGATACAGTAAAATGGTCTCCAGCTCAGCTGAAATGACAGTATCTCAGTTTTTGTCCCAGTAACCTCCATTTTGTCCAGAGTTTGAGTAACTAAATCTGTCCAGAACTTAATAAGGGGCTACATTCAGCCTCATGCCCGTGTCAGGAAGAGTGTATGCTCTCTTCAAGAGCTGCACTTTTCTTTTAGAAAAATGAATCTTGCAGCATGTTCCCATGAGGTGGAACTTTTTCCTCATACTCTGGGCTTCTTGCATGCTCTTTCCTGACTCCCTGTTGAATAGGGCATTCAAAAAATGAGAAGGAATGTATGTTATCTAAGGAGATGAAGTTAAAAGGCAGTATATATTCTTCTTCTGGATAGCCATTGATAGAATAATTGTCAGAAGGAGTGATGCAAGTTTAATTACTCACATTTTAAAATCACATTTGACAAATATGGAATAATCTTGCAATCCATTGATGGTAATACCCTCTTTTTTGAAAGTGAGGTCCTGGGCCAAAGACAGGTTGATCAAAAGAGCGTTTCCTGTTCCCATCTCACCGAATACATCTCATGAAACCTTGATGTATTGACACATGGGCCTTCAATTGCCTGAATGACTTCATCTGCAGCTGTGAGGAAGCATTTGGAATCGCAGATAAAGTGACCAGAAATAAATGCGGAAGGAGTTTTGTGTCTGAAAAGTTTTGGCTTAAACCTTTCCTGCCAGCACAAAGAAATGTAATACAGACAGGAGTAGCATCTGTTTCTCTAGGATAATGTTTCCTTGCTTTTACTGAGAGACTTTTCCTTGCTTTTACTGAGAGACTATCCTTCATACTCTGGCAGTTTCCTATCAATTTGTGCAACAAGCAGCTCTTCTTCACCACAGGCCTGTGGCTGTCAGTGATAGTAAGCCCTTCAGCATGTAAGCAAGTCTCTGCCATTTGATAACTGTGATCCATTGTGCTGGGTTGCCACCCTCTTGCTGTCCTGACCACAAGAGAAAGATAAGAAATGTGTGGCCAGTGTGTTTCACAGTTCCTTTTTTTTGCTAGAATGCCTTAGTAGACAAAATAGGTTCTGTGGAAGAGAGTTGTTTCTAGCTAAAGTTTGTAATGGCTGTTCACACCAAAACCTACCCTTGTCTTCTTCAGCATACAGTTCTTTCCCTTCCTCTGTTTTCCTTTCTCCAGCTACTCAGGCCAGTTTTCTTACCCTTTCTAGTTCCTTGGGTTCATAACCCATGTCATACTTCCTGCATCATCCAGCCACTATTCAGCTACCCTATTTGAGCTCTTACTCTATTAACTTCCAGCTCCTTGTTAGTTCTGGCTATCCATTGTTTGGCTTCTTCTTTTCCTTTCCCTCAGTGTCAGCCTGTGTGGTGGATATTAAGTTTTTGTTCAATACCAGCAGTATCTGTGCACTCAGTTTCTTTATGCCACATTAATCTGCAGTTCTTGGAAGGAGAAATTCCCTGGGGTGGTTCTATTCAGACTGTAAAGCCCACAAGAGACAGAATTGTTAACAAGTGCAGCTTCCAGTTCCAGATCTCTTTCTTGAACATGTGCAAACTGAAATTTTTGCCAAAGCTTCACCAAATGTAAAGATTCTTCCAAGGGACTAGAGGAGAACATTCGCAGCATAAAGGAGCCTCAGGCAAATGTTTGGCTTTTTCATCCAAAACAGTGGAAAACAGAACCATGCAGGTAAAAAGCTTAAAGTCATGTGCTTTGGCACATAAAATGGTACGAACAGCCCTAACATTTTACTGAGGTCTCTGATGGGAAGGAGATAAGAGTAGAATGTTGCATAATGTGCTTTGGCACATAAAATGGTACAAACAGCCCTAACACTTTTACTGAGGTCTCTGATGGGAAGGAGATAAGAGTAGAATGTTGCATGGTAGACATTTGACAAAGCTATGGGCAACTGAAAGCAAGAGCATAAGTAATGGAAATAAAAATATCACCTTCTCCTGGGCAATTGCATTTCTTAAGTGTAGTGTAACATTGTTCTGCTCAGAATTTTGAATTGTTTTCCACAGTATTTGACAAGTAAGCAAGTAGATAGCTGATGGCAGTTTCTATGTTTTGTTTTAGCAATTTGTATTCATGTTTTCTTGCTTCAGAAAGTAATGCAATGGTTTCCAACATTTTTTTATATGTTGGTAGTGTAAACTAGCTAAACACTTGTGTGATAGTTATTTTATTTTGATAAAATAAGACTGTGTGTTTAAGTTCAAAAAATAGCTTTTTCCTTGGTTAATTTGAGTACTATTAAAATTAAATAAATTTATTTAATAAAACTGATAGCTCTTTTTTAAAGATCTACATCGTAAAAAACAAAAAGTGAATGTATAGGTTTGACATCCCAAGCAAGCAAATTAATTCAGAATTACCACTTACAAAAATTATTTCGGTTTGGGTAGTGAAACTTTGCCCTTAATTGAAATAGCTGTGTGTCAGGATTAAAACTGTCTAGCACTAAAATAGATAAATATTTGTTTTCTTGTTGTGGGTCTATTAGAAATTTAGAAGTCCTTGCCTCTCAATATAAACTTTCCTTTAATAATTTCATAACAAAATCTACTTTTAAAGAATTTGTTTATTCTGAAGGGCTCTACTACTTGATTTTAAGAAGTCTTAAGCTTAACTTGTCTAAGATGATGCCACACTGCTTTAACATGATTTCAATAGATACATGTATTGACTGGGACATAAAGATTGCTGTCAGTCTTTATACTGGACACTCATATTTTTTCCCTTTTCAACCTGAATAATTAGTTTGAAATTCTCTTGACGTTTTTCAGGGACAGTTTTAGTTACAGCTTACCCTGAACTGGAATTTACCCAGAATGGGAAAAACCCTTTATTTAAAACTAAGAGTTTTCGCTTTGTATACGTTTTTAAAGACATATTTCAGACAGCTGATTTTTCACTTCCCTTTAGCAGCTCTCTGTACTGTATCTGTTACACAGACAGCAGCAGCCCCCCATTGGAAGGTCCCTTTTGCTCTAACAGAGTACTTGAAAAGGACTTAGGAATAAAAGAGAATTGAATATGAGAGCTTGCATGCCTAATGTGCTTTCATATAGCAATTGAAAGATTGTATTCAAAGGTTTAGGGGGAATTTCTAATGCTTGTTTTGCTCTTTGACCTACTGGTTAACTAGTTTATTAACAAACATTTAATGAATGAGATGGAGCTCACTCATTAACAAGGAGTTTGTGGCTGGATCAGCAATGGGAAGTTACCATGTTTTGTAGGCTTAGCTGTAGAAATACAGCCTATTGACTGGTAAATATTAGTGAGCAATTGAGAGGTATGGTGGGATGTGTCAGGTTCCTTCATATTAGTCTGCATCTAGGTCCCTTCAAAAGGAAAAAATTACCAGGATATTTAGATTATCCCAGTGTCGTAAAGAACTGACCTAATTTGGTTATTTCTCAATTTTGTGCCTTTAGTTATATTAGACTGTATTCATGTCACAAGTGGCATAGACAAAATTCATCTTATTCATTGTACAACTTTGAGCTATAGAAATACTTAGCAAGCAAAAAATATAGGAGGTTTTCCTGTTTCGTTTGTTCAATAATCCTGGATGGTCATCTTACCTTTGGCTGACAGTAAACCATGAAGACCAAACTGAAACTTTGTGCCCTGAATGACTGTGTAGGTTTCTGATGCACTGCTCTTTGTGTTTTCTCAGTGTTTTTTGTTGGTGGGGGGTTTTTATAAATTACTTTAAAATAGGTGAAGAAAAGAGTCTTTCCACTGCATCAGCAATGTTGCAGAGAACAGTCACTTGGAAGAGCAAAGTCTAAAATTTTCTTAATTTTTGTTGAAATGTGCACAGATCTGTGCTGTTTTCCCCCTCCATGCAGTCACATGAGAGTACTTGCCAAATTTGAATTAAAATATATTTTTTTAAATTTACTGCCATATATGTTTACGCATTGAAATGTGGCAAAACAGTTTTAGATAACAAATGGCATTTGAACATTGGAAGTAGTGTTCAAATTGAGTTTACTCCTTGATGAATTCCTTGATTATTTTTTTTTAAGATATGTTTTACTTTCAGCTATATCCTCTAAGAAAATAGCTGTATTCTCTAATGATAATGTTCTGCCCTCTTCAAGTTAGGTAGGCAGGGAGAGCAGTTGAGCTGGTACACAAAAATAATGGATCTAAGTGCACATATGTGCAAGGCTAAGGCTTAAATATCTCAAACAAGTGAGTGCTTTAGGATACAGATTAGATCTTTTTATGATGATTTGCACATGTTCCTTAATATGACTGTGTATACCCCACTCACAATTATGCTCAGTACTTGGGCATGTGGGGGAAGTGGTGTCCCAAACTCTTTCTGTTCTCAGCGGCTCAGTGAAAATGGAGTGTTTTCTTACTGCCCTTTGGTTTGCCCAGTGTAGCACATGGTTCCTTTCCTGCCTCTTCCTTGTCACCATTTTCTTTGTACAGATCTGGTCTAATACTGGATCTTCAAATGCCTGTTTTCCTGATACCACTCACTTGGCACCATTTTCTTTACACAGCAGACTCCCTAGCTCATATTTGCTGCATCAGTTGAGTGCCCAGGAGACAAGATCTGCTGCTTCTCTGAGATAATTGGTAAAACAGATTCCATCAAGGGATATGTTTCAGACTCTTCTTACTCCATGAATTATATTTGTTTTGCAAGAATAAGCTGTAGATCATTTTGCTTATGTTTGGTGCTCTGATGGTGCTTCTCTGCTGCCTGAGAAGAACACATAGATAAACTTGGAGGAAGCTAGCACAGCTATTTCTGTTAGTAGCAGTGGCTTTATTTCAGCTTGAAATAGAAAATAATTGGTAATTAAAAGATAATCTTGTAGAAGAAAAAAAGCTATTGCAATTTCAGGATGAGCAAGTGGTAGAATCGCTGTGGACCCCCCTGGGTGAAGAGATGGAGCATCATTCAGTTCAGCAGATTTCGTGTACTCGTTGACACTGTCAGCTTGTGGTTGTCTGTGCCAGCAAGCCTCTGTCTCCCAGGTCTGCAGGATAAACAGGAAATGGCAGATTCCTTTTTATATGCCCAGTGTTACTTTCTTGTTTTCTTGACCAACAGTAACTACCCTATCATGGACAGCTAGGGTCCTGCAAGTTCAGGGCTAAGGACATATGATCTAAGAAGGCACATCTGTTTCTTCACTGCATTGCTTGTTTGGCTTAAGAGATTGTATCAGCTCCAGATGCACAGTCAAATCAACAATTTTCCATCTTCTGTTTCTCCTCAGTGACCCAAGCACTCTTTTCTTTGTTAGTGTCAAGAACCTACTGACTGCCAAAATACACATACTCTTGAGGTGGCTGAGAGAGCCTTAAATTCCAGGGATCCATTGATTCCTTTCACAATATCAGAGCTTCAAGGTTTTTGGCTAGCCTAGAGACATACCAGCCTATCAACACTCTCCCATTTAGAGTTTTCACTATCCAAATTTTACAGTGAGAGGCTATGTTGTCAGAGATTTGCAAGCTTATTTGTAACAGAAATCAGTCAGTCAGATCTCTGAGGTGGTATTGTGTAGATATGTTCATAGTGTGCTCTGGAAGAAAGCTCAGAAACCGTATTTCATTTAAATTAAACAAAATAGTGTATTTAACTTTTTGACTTAGGAGGAAGTGCACAGAATCAAAGAGAGGCGGTAGAAATGATAGATTTATATACAGCACTCTCCTTGCTTTCTGATTATTCTTGTCAGCTATCTCTGTCCACAGCTGTCTTCTGAGCTGGGCATCATTTTTCTCCTCTGTTTTTAAAGGGGAAGATGAAGATTATTTCCCAGTTCTCCCCATTCTTCAACATTCTGATGTAAGACACAAATATTTGTAATGTGTGTGTATTTACCACAGTAGTTATCTGCATGTTTTTTCATCTGTGGAGTTAGATTTCCTAACTGCTATTACTCCTACAAGGAGAAGGGGAAATTTCTAGACTAATGGATTTATTTTTTTTAGAGATGAAATACCTCTTCAGACTCCAAAGTTTCTTGCAACATGGTGCTTGAGTTGCACCTTTGATCAAGAGTTTAGTGTCCCAGTTCTCTAAATGTAGCTAATCTGTGTAAGTAATGTAGTTGTATTAGGGCTCTGTTTTTCTGGATATATTCAACACCCAGACCCTTTTGGAACTCTTGAACTGTTTGTCTGTTGTTTAGAGATCAAAGTATTCAGCCATTTCTGAGTAGCAGTTCTCTAAATATGGCTAATGAGCTGTGGCAAAACTTGATACGAATCCTTAAAGATAGATTGTTCTTCTATGAGTGCTACCAGAGACAGCACAAAGAAGAGTTCACAGCCTGCAGCAGAGCTCCATCCAAACCTCTTCACCAAGCACTGTCATCTCTGACACTGTGAAGAGTGATGTGAAGTGATTCTCTGACATGGAGTTGCTTTGCAAGAGTACCAGTGATATATTTAACCACATGGAAATAACCACAGAGTGCATGTACTTGTGAGTTGTCACTCAGGTTAGTTTCCAGCTGCTGTATGAATTCCATGTGCATTCATTCTCCTTACTTGCCCTTCAGGTTTTTAAAAATTGTATCTCTAGCTGAATTAAAAATGAAATGGTGCCATGCATGGCCTTATATTTCAGTGTGCTGAACATGAGGAACAGTGGGATTTGAGCCTAAGGGAACAAATTATCCAGTTTTAAGGAAGTGTCTGTACCTGTTGTGTGAATTTGCACACAGTCTAAACTTCTGAGACAATGTTTATAGAGGTAAGTAGTCTCTTTCATGTAGAAGTTTCCCAGGAGGAATAAATAAGTAGAGGAATCCCTCTTTGGTTTCTTGTTAAGGAACAGGTCAAATGGATAATGGCTTTAGTTGCATTTGACATTTAAAATGTAACTTTTGATTAGACATCTATGCAGCAGACAGCAGGAAAGATAATTCCATCTGCCTGAAGGAAGCTGTGGTAATATTGCCTGCAGGGAAGTGCTCTTAAATGTATTAGTAAGTACTCTGAGATGAGCCGTGCATTTTGAGTGCCAGTTGTTTGTGAAGGTTCATTTATGATGAATTGTCATGAAAAAACTTTGTTTTGGTTTAAGATCAAACAAATTAAACTTCAATGGCTTCAATGTCTCCAGTTTAAACCAGTTACAGATTAGAAGATGCTACAAATTGTCATTCTGACTACTTTTATTTGCATCAGATATTACAGTGCTTGTGTGTAAATGAGGAAATTCAATAAATAAACTAAGCCTGTTGTCATATTCAGGCTGGTGAATAGGGCAGATACTTTGGAGTAAGTATCTGATGAGCAGAAAGAAGCTTTAATGCTCATACTTCAAGGAAAGGCAATCCTATATGCCTGTAAAATCCTCCAAAGAGGATTAAAATGTCCATGATTCACTTAATATGTGAAGATTTGAGCAGTTACCCGTTCGATAACTCATTCTCATGTCGCCTGAACTTCTCTCCAGCAGATTGCCAAACTGAGGCAGCAGCTGCAGCGCAGTAAGCAGAGCAGTCGTCACAGCAAAGAGAAGGAACGTCACTCACCTCTCCATGGCAACCATATAGCAATCAGTCAGACTCAGGTAAGTGGGCAGATCCTTATATTAACAGCCTCCCACCTTATCAGGGTCGGCTGAATAGCCTGCTGAGCCTTCCCATTTGTCTTGTGTTTATTCTCTTGTGTGGTACATCAAATGCCTAACAGTATGATACTGCTGTGCCTTCACTGGAGTTCATCTGATGGTCGTCATATAATAATAAGAAGGGTTGCACCAGGATAGCAACTGAAATATATTACGGTGCTGTAAAAGTTATGGGCATGGCCAGATAAGGCTGTGTTTTCAGGGATGCATACATGCCTCCCAAGACTAATTTTTTTTGTGGTAAACTCTCAGAGCTCCTCTGGAAAGTATTTACTTACCAGTTTTGCAACCTAATTCCATCTGGGCTACTTAAAAAAAAAAAAAAAAAAAAAAGAAAAGAAAGAAAAAGGAAGTACCAAAGCAGGGTGCGGTGGAGGATACCCAAAGCAGTCATGATCTAGTCACTACATCCTGTCAGCAAAATTGAAACCCAGTTGCAGTTCTAAAGCTCAGGTGAGGTTCAGCCAATATCTTCATAAATCTTAAGGCACTTGTAGAAAGCATTTAACCATGGCTTATTTGAGAGTGCAGATATTTGAGTCCTGATTAAATTTCACCTATATAGATCCTTAGACTCCCTGTTACTAACAGGCCACTCTTTGAACATTTGAAATACTGGTTCTATCATGGTATTTCCTGAGTACCTTTATAACTACCTGGTGTTCTATAGCAGCTAGTTACAGGAGCTGGTTGAGCTGTGAGGGCTTATTCCTTACATTCCTTCTGTGGGGATAAAATCTTGTGGTCAAATCCTAATGCATGAAGGTGGTTGGAATTTGATGCTCTTCCTGAACCTGTTAGCCTTCATAACAAAGGATCCTACTATATTTGACATAGAAATGGGTTTTGCTTTACATCTCAAAGTAAGCTGTTGCAAGTACCTGTGCCATTATAGTCACATAGCAGACAGTCTTTGACATGGATTGAAACCCACCTAGGACATATGCTGTGAAGAAACTTCGTTTAGTACTTGGAGCTCACTTTGTCATTGCTCATGTGACATTTTGGTTCCTCAGGAAGATGTTCTGTGATAAAGCAGTTCTACAGGCTCTGTGTTGTGGCAGTCAGAGAATGCTTGTAGGCAAATGACTTGCCCTTGGGAGCTGCACATTGTGCAAGATTCACTTGATAAGAACTTAAAAAATGTTTACATTTTGTCTTAAGCATCCTGTGATTCTGTGAGGAGGAGGAGAACATGTTGATTGACACATGAGACTGTTCATGGCTGTCAGTGTAGCCAAGGTGAAGGTTTTAAGGTTGATTGTGCATGGCATGTGTGCACTCTTGGGAATGTTTCCTGTTCGTAACAGAGCTCCACTCAACCAGCTTTTCTGAAAATCATATTTGTACTTCCTTGGATGCTTGTTTCTTAAACTCAACATGATTTCTCTTAAGACCTTTGACATAAAGTTCTGAAAAGGTATAAACTAATGAAATTAAAGGTTCAGAATGAATGTTTTATTTTGCATTCACTAAAACCAACCAAAAGAGAGTAAAAGTGTATTACGTGAATATTTTGGTTGAGTCATTAAGCTTTAGGAATGTTATGAAATGCCTTTTGGAGCCCAGTTATCATCAGGGCCCCATGCACTCCCCATACCCCTGCAGTGTAAACCTTTGTACTTTCCAGAGGCACAGACTTACACCTGTCTACTTATTACCAAGTGAAGTCATAGAATGCTTTGATTATACAATTTTTCTTTGAGTTAAGCAGAGATGATTTTATTGACTTTTGATTTCTACAGACATTTGTTTTTATTTGAATTCACCAAGTAAAGGTGATCTTCTAGATGGCAAAATTAATACACACCTTCTTACTTAGTAATGTTTTAGTTTTGGTCTCAGACTTCTGCCTTTATTCTGTTTTCCATGTTTAAATCATGTTGCTGTCTGCCTTCTAGGCTTGTATTTCCAGATCTGTCCCTATGCCACTGTCAAGCATTTCAGTGCCAAAATCAGCTGCTTCACGTGTGCCGTGTAATGTAGAAGGAATAAGCCCTGAACTGGAAAAAGTATTCATTAAGGAGAACAGTGGAAAAGAAGAGGTGTCCAAGGTAAGCGTATAGTAACATGTTGATGGTTGTTATCTCTTTGTAATCTATAATCACAGGGAAAACCTTCCTCTTGAGGAACCTTCGTTGTGGCTGAAATTACAAATAATTTTCTTCAAAGAACTGTTTGAAAACTTTGTTTCAGTGTTTTAGCATGGTGGGTTTTTGTGTTTTGTTTCTTATTTTTAAAGGGCTTCTGGCCAAACCTACTTTGTTTAGAATGCCCTTTGTGTAGAGAACTTGCAAGTTTTTGTGAGAGATACAAGTGTTAGAACATTCAGACACTTTAGGCTGCAGTAATAAGTAATGAGAGATCAGGAGATTGTTATATTTGCTTCATTTTGCACTCTTTTTCTTGAGTAAGATATAAGTTTCCAGTGCTATGCTCTGCTTTTTGGCTTAAATGCTTTTTTTTCCATGAACTGAATGTGGACCATTTTGCTGCCATGAAACCTCTGTGATCTGTCATGGGAGATCTCTGTATGGGAAATACTGACAAATGGGGCAGCTTTGCTTTGGAGCATTGGACTTCTCATAGAGGAATTTGATGACACTGAAAATGCGGAATACTTCGTTTACAGCCACTGTTTCCTAAACAACCAGTGAAAATTTTCTACTGTGGAATAAAGTACTCCATGTTTTTTTTCTAATCTTCTCCAAGTTATAGGTGCTTTTCTCATGAATGGTCATATAATAGCAATTCAGTATACAAGTCAAGCTATAAAAATTCCATCAGAGGTTGAAGATTCTGAAACCTTATATATTTGCAGTTCTTCATATCAGTAGTAAACTTAAATTTTTTTGGGGTAGTCTTGGCTTCTCCAGACCCCTAGTTGTGTGGACAAAGCAGTCTTAAGAATGTAGTAGTAGTTCTATGCTAAGCTTTCTTTCCTAAGGCTGTCTTATCCCTTTAGGAGAGGTGGGTATTGTACCAGGGGAATAAGGAAAAAAAATTAAACATGCAGATTGAATGCCCAGCTCAACAAGCCTTGTTGCAGCATCTCCAAAGAGTACAAAAAAGTGTGTATTGTAGTGCCACTGTTGATGTTGCTATGGCTAGGGTTGTAATCTCCTGTAGTTGGAGGATATTTCATTTATGTATGAGACAAATCATCCTTGTAAATGCTGTCCTTGGGTTTTAACAGCTTATTGCTTGGGATGCAGAGCTCTCCTGTGTTACTGAATGTACTGACTGTGATCCAGCAAAACAGTTAAGCACATACTTAAGTGCATTGTTGGCTTTGGGCCAGAGGTGCTCGGAGTTTACGCAACCAAGGCAATAGTGAACCCTTCCTCCAAACATTCAGCTGGCAAGAGCTTCAGACACAAAGGAAAGTCATAAATCAGACATTGCCCTTGAAGTCAAGTCCATCTTTGTGGGCAGAGGGTTGTTTCCTGCTATGTAACTGTTAATTTCTGTGAACTCTGGTCTTGTGGGACCTAGAGTGGGACTCCTAGCACTGTCTGTGAGATTACAAGATCGCAGTTTGCTTATGGAAGATCATAACAAGACCATAATTTAGTCAAATCTTACTGCCAGTGAACTTTCTCCTAATATAACAACTTAGCCTGGGGGTCTGGGGGCAGCTGGGTTAAAGGTTAGGAATCACTGGACAAAAGACAAACCATAGGAAACCAAACTAGTGAACCTGTTTGTTTTTCTTTCAGTTTTCTGCCATTCTTTATCGCTGTAACATTTTGTATTTTTAGAAACCATTTTAAAAGCAAAGTCAAAGGTAGTTTGTTGCTTTGGAATATGTCTTCTGTCTTTACTCATGATGATCTAGTTCTGTTACTTCTCTGAAACATTTTTTTTAAACTTTGTTTTAACATCTTAATGATGGTTAAAATTGTAGTTATAAAAGCAAAAGTAACCCAACCACTCATGTGTTGTTCAGTTATTTTAGTATTTCATGAAGATAGTTGAGGATTAGTAATGTCTTTGTGTCATTACCTTTTAAAAATCCAGTGGACTATAAGGTTGAGAGAAATTGCATAGTGGTCAAAACTCTAAAAAAAATTCATTATTTGCAGTTTAGCCATAACTGTGTTTTTTCACATGATTCATCTTGCTTTGCTGAAGGTGTTTCCTTTTTGCTTTCGTAAAATGAATTCGTCCTTTTTGAGCCACTTCTTAATCACCTCTTTCACCTCAAACCTATTAATAAACTTTAATTCATGTTCTAATGCATTTATTCAAAAGTCTTGGCTTTATTTTCCTTCCTTTATAACTTGCTGATTAACTCTGACAAGGTGTGATGGTGTGTCTCTGTTCTCGCCATAACTTGTAAGATGGAATCAGCTTTTTGTGAGGTTGTTGCAGGCTTTTGTTCTTTGTCCCATTGTGATTCCAGAACACCATCATTGGAGACTGAGGTACAATAAGGTGATGGACTTTTTCTAGGGATTAGGGGATAAGAGGTGTTCCCTCTTCTGGAATACAATAGTGAAAATTATGAAAAGTGCCCTGTAGCAGAACACAGACACATTCATAAGCCTCCTGTTATGAAAAACATTCTACCAGAACTATCAAGTATACAGAAGTAATTAGAAGTAAATAAATTTTGAGGGACTGTCACACACAATGTAGTTGACTGATTACTGTGTTCCTTGTTTGATTTCTGTTGCTTCTGGAAGGAGGTAGCAAGGTGGTTTTATATACCTATCTGGAAACTTAATCCTTTAATAAAATGACTTCTTTTATTTCGCACAGAGGCAGAGGATCCTTACTTAACTCTTCCTAGCCTTCGTCTAAAAACTGGTTTTTTTCCTAAGTGTTCCTTCCTAGGATACATCATGGTTTTTGCACTTGCACCTTATCTAGTGCATTGATGGCTTCACTGACGCCAGCAGGAAGAAGCACTTTCCTATGTTGGCCTTTGTGTTCCAGTCTAGAGGAAAGTTTTTAGATCAATAGCATTGAATGCTTTGCTCTGAAGAAGTTCCCTCACAAACAGATGTACAGCTTGTGAGGAGACTCCCATTGGTAATGCTATTACAGACTGGTAGCATTCCTGATTCTTTTAAGTAGAGTGTTATGGAGGTTTTTTCCAGCAGAAAGATTAACATTCACCAATTTGTTTTCAGTAACAACGTATTGAGAAATGCATACTTTTTGTCAAATGCAGCTTTTTCATACCTGTGCTGGAAGATGAGAGCAGTATGTAACTGTGTCCAGGAACACACATCCAGTAGGGATGGACAAGTTTCCTGTCAGAATGCATTTGGTATAAGGTTAAAATATGACTGGACATACTTGAAAAAAAAAACCCTCATGAAAAGGCATATAGAATGCAGTAATTTCTATTTGTTTTCCATGCTTTGGGCATTATGGGAAGTAATAGCAGCTGTACCAAATTAGTTACCCTCTTTGTTATCTTGTAAGGTTGTGAGAACTTCAGTTTTAGAATAGTTCAGGCATGACTCATAGCAAGTAACTTCAAAAGTGATTTTTTTACATTGATCAGGTTTTATACATAAAGCTAAATACTTCTAGTTGATATTTTCATGGAGATTTTTCCACTTGTCAGCAATGAGGGAAAGATAAATACAAGAATACAGTAATCTGAGATATTAACTGGCATTTTTATGCCTAATAGAGGTTATGGCACTTGTAAAGAATGATAAATATTTAGCTTTTTCTGCTTGTGCATATATTTAGATATGTGTCTAAAAGTATGGATTATTTTTGTACCTCAGGCTTTAGTTCAGGGGAGATTGAAATATGTGATGTGGGATATACTTCCTGACTGCCGGAGACTACATTGTTCCTCCAGGTGTGCAAGAGCATCTGTGTTATGCTGAAGTCTTTAATTATGTGATCACGTGCTGGTTTTTTCCTCTCCCTGGAATCCTCATTTTACCTGTTACATAGACTATAGTGTATGCCCTTAATGAGCGGCTGTTTGGTGTTTTTCCCTTTTCCTCCTTAGATTTGTGTCCTCATGCTTAGTGTTACACCTCACTTTGAAGTGAGAAATCTGAATTTTTGCCTGAGATTTTGCTTCTTTATAATAGCAGCATGTCCAAAATTTTGTTCGCTTTACATCACAGTTATGTGAGAAGAAATGATATTATTTACACTTTATGGATGGGGAAGCAAATCCATCAGGGTTCTATAGTGTGGTTGTTCGGGTAACTCAGGATGTTGCATTCCATTTTAGGAGTTCAAAATGCAGCTCCTATAGTCTCTTTCTGCATCTGTTAATGCAGAGGACTTACAAATTAGACCCATATAAACTGGGCATCCAGAAGAGATCCTGTAAAAGACAGAGGTTCGTTCAGCTGGTTCTCTGACACCTCACAGAATTTTTGTGGCAGAGAGAGAAATAAAAATGCTGTTCTGTATGGCAGTTTTTGGGAGGTTTTTTTGGGGGGGTTTTTTGGTGGTGGGGGTCTTTTTTTTTTTCTTTCTACTGCTTCAGTCTTGTTTTCTCTCTTCTGCCTGTGTAACAAATGCTACAGAGCTGCAGGTCTGTCTTGAGCATTGAATGAGTCAGGGCCTGTTGGGGGTGATGGAACTGGAACACCAAGTCATGTTGTAACGCATATGCGATGTGAACTGAGCTGTTGGAACAGACCACACAGCTGTGCCCAAACTTTACAGCAACTGTAATGTTCTCTCTATAGTGTGTTTCTTTGCTCTTATTTGAAATATGAAATGGTATTAACTGGAAGACTCATAAGAAGAAAATTATCTTCCTGCTCTGCTATGTCTGCCTCTTTGTGTAATATGTGGTGGTTTTCTGGATAGACTGTTGCTGAAAAAGGGAGAATGTGATACTCAGCCAATAGGTGTCATGTCCTCATTGCTAGCAAAAGTGTTTGGTTGAATTTTAGGCTCTGGAACAAGCTGTTACAGTTTTGGAATATATGTGGAAGAGAGGCAATAAAATAAAAATGTTCACTTGAAGTGAGAAGGAAAAAGATATTAATTTTTTGTGGCTAGAACATTTAAGCTGTTCTTTATGGTTTGGACCCAGTTCTCACTGAAGTGAGAATAAAATTTTTTTAAATCTTGCAGACATTTTTTCCCCTTTGCTTCTAAGCAAGACTCTAATTCCCACTTGGTTTCTTACTTTTTAAGCAGCACTGTCTTTATTAAAAAACTAATTTCCCATTGGGAAGGACAAATGAGTAGAGTGTGCCAGTTGTCTGTTGTGAACATGTTGCAGAATGGATGCAGCATCACTCTGGCCAGTGCCAGCTAGGCTGATACAGGCAGGTAGAGCGTACTAGCTTTGGCTCAAGGCAAAGCTTGTGAGCCTTGTTACAAGCCTGCGTGTGTGCATCATCTGTAGAAGGATGGAATGTAGGAGTGTGCTGGAGAATTGCAACTTACTAGCAAAACTTGGATGCTTTTGTTTTATAATTGTAATTCAGTTGGTTGTTATGGCAATAGTACAGCATTGTATTTGACATTTTCTACTTTCCCTTTTATCCAAATGTGATCTCTGTCGGGGTACTTGTTTTTGTATTATAATAGCAGTGACCTTTATTGAAAATTGTAGTACTACATATAATTAGTGAGGGGGGTTTGCTTTTTAACTACTGTAAAAACCATAAAAACATAACAGTGGCATGTGCTGAATTGTGGATGTTAACTTTACATAGGAACGTGTGCATGTTGCCCCAGTACTCAGTGTAATTAATGTATGTTGTACCATTGTACACGGCATTATTTTCTTGTGTGAGATCTCCCTGTTCTTTCTAAATTGCCATGTTTGTTCTTCTTAAGGCCTTCGCTTAGGGGTACTACAGGCTGCCATTGCTTCTGAGTTTGATCTTTTCTCTGTATTTGTCTGTTTGTCTTGCAGCCTTTGGATATCCCTGACGGTCGGAGGGCGCCGTTGCCTGCTCACTATCGTAGCAGCAGTACCCGGAGCATTGACACGCAGACCCCGTCTGTCCAGGAGCGCAGCAGTAGCTGCAGCAGTCACTCACCGTGTGTCTCTCCCTTTTGCCCTCCTGAATCTCAGGATGGGAGTCCCTGTTCAACAGAAGATTTGCTCTATGACCGTGATAAAGGTGAGAGTAGAATGGCCTGCCTTTACCTATGGGAGGCATGTGATGTCATGCTTTTACAACTACCTTCATTTTACTCATTACATCAGTTTTTGTTTTTGTTTGATGGTTGTGGAGGGATTGAGGATTTATCTGAAAATTGGTTTTGTTTGTTTACATATCTTTTTCCCTCTTGTTTGTGAAACTTCACAAACATCTTCCATAAATACGTCAGAGGAGCACAGCAAACAGTTACCTATTTATGAAGATTCTGATGTGAAGAATTCAGACTGTAACATGTTTACATTTAAGAAAGCTTTCAGGAAGGTTTGTGGTAGACTGTGTATTTATCATAGGTGATTTGCTTGCTGTTGAAAATGGTGATGAAGTTTTGGACTGCTTTTAAAAGAACTCTGCTTCTGAACTCTTACATTCTACTAGAAGCTGTTTGGTGAGGAGCTCAGATACCTGTTTGAACAACCTGGTGGAGGGTAATTACTTCTCCGTGTATGCTGCATAACAGCTAAAAAATTCTGAATGATTTTTGCGTTTATCAATATCCTGCATTTTTTTCCGAAGTCTGTAAAATGTTGTTTGGTTTTATAGTGGGAGTACAACTGGAGTTTCAGTAACTGAGTTACTGACAGACTATGGACTATGAGGCTGTAGGCACCAGTGACTGTGGCTTTTTTGACAACTGTTTACTAATAAAATTACCCTTGTGCTTCTGGTCAGCTAGCTGAAACATGGACTCAGTATGGAGGATGTAGGATTTGGGTAAATCATGTAAGCTAAGAGGAGTAAGTTTCACAGAGGAAATGAAAACTTCTAAGATGTAGCATATATTTATTTACCAATGAGCTAAAGATGGCAGAGTTTTGAAGTGTAAGTAAGGTTAAACATTTTTTTGTAAATACTGTCTGTTTATTTAGAGTTAAAGTAATTTGGGAATAGGATTGGTGAAGTCAACAAGAGAAACACTAGCTTTTCTTGATTTCTGAAAAGTATTTCTTTCCACATCTTGGATTTAAAAGGAAATAGTGGAAAACAAATCCATCTGCCCAAATCCTGAACTGCGGGTGGGTGTGTGCAAGTTAACCACATTAAAGTAAAAGTCTTAGCTCAACATGAGAGTTGGCTATGCTCCAAAAATAGCAGTGTTATTAGCTTGCCCCCACCATACTCCTCTTTCTTATACTATGCATGTGAATATTAATATGTTGTCGAGACTGAATCACTATAGAAACATCTGCTAAAGTATTAGCACACAAAAAACCATCTTGACAGGTAAATTGGTTCATATATGTCCTGATAACAAATATAAGTTAAAAAGCAAGGAAAAGAATAATTTCTTCTGCAGTCAGTACTCCGTTATCACAGTAATGGGAATTTTCAGTGGTACATTTATTGGCAGTAGCGAGTGAAGACAGTTTGAAGTAGTGCATCTAGCCTTTTTAATGCTTTTCAAGGCTTTTTATCTCTTGCCTTGGATTTTTTGAACAGCTGACTGGAGTGAAATTTATGAGTAGATACTTATTTGTGGATTTTGGTTTTAAGACTGGCTTTAATGCTAGGCTTGCATCAAAAGTCTTCTCCAGGAGAAGTGTGTAGGTGATGATGATAAACAGCCAGGTTTTCAAGTCATCATAATGGCATTTTAAACTTGGTTTAAGTAAGATACATAATACTGTGCATATGAAAGATAAAACCTTGAACTTCTCATCACAAGTTAATTTTTTAAGGGCAAGGTAAAAACTAGGAAAACATGTAGCAGTTTTCCAAGAGAAAGTAATTTTTTCAGAGGTTTTAATAGTATAGTATAGTCAGAAAGGTGCTTTTTGCTCTCACATCATCCAAATACTACAGGCTGGCTGTTCTGAATTAGAATGTTGCTTCAAAATCATTAAATAGCAGAGAAATGAGGGATATGGCTGGAAATTACAACAGAATAGCAAGTTTGAGGGACAGTTTATTACATTTGTTGTGGCTGTTAATTGCTCTATACAATAAAAACTTAGGAAGGTTTTCACACCTGCATTTTAAAAGCTTTTGTGAGCTAGAATAAAACCATCAGGTTTTTTTGTGAGGCCTGTTAAGTTTGGAAATACACATTGTGTAACTAAATGTAGATTTTGGCAACGTTTTCTTGTTACTTTTTTAAAGGTTTAGTTTTCCTCTTGATGAAAATAACTTGTCTTTGCCATTAAAAAGTGGAGTTATTGGTGTTACTAATGATTGTGGGGTGTGTTGCTGAATAAAAAAGGAAGGTTAGTTTGACTAAGAGACTAAGCAGTGAGAGGAGCCAATGCTCTGTACAGACACAGCACTGCTTTACTGCTTTACATTCCTAAAGCATCTTTTACCTTTTGTGCAAAGCTGTGCTTTGGCCCGAGGCCCTCCCAGCTGCCCTTTGGGCTCTATCAACTGTTGGGTTTACCTTTCTGAAAGAAGCTGTTAAATAATTGAATTTTTCCAAAGCAAGTGAAAGCTGATTTTCAGAAGAGGCCCACGGTATTACTCTGAACAGAGCAGTGATACTTCACAGTATTGATTAGAGCAGACAAGGAAGGGTTGGGTAGGAGTGTGTTTTCATGGCACCTGGCTTTATGATTTTGTATTAAAACTACTGGTTTCACTAGTTCTGTTTTGTGATACTCTGGTGTATGAAACTAATTCAGAGCCCTACATAGCATCCTCAGCACCTGTGACAGAGGTGAAATTCAAAGGCATCTGGAGGTATAAGCAGATGAATTCTGGAGGGGTTTCTTTCTACAAATGCAGATTGTATACCCTGTTTTTCAGGGATTTTGGTTTAGGTAGCATTTAGTAGTCCCACTGTTGCTAGCAGGCTCTTCCAAGTAACATGTTTGTGAAGATGCTTGTTAAATTCTGGGTATCTGATTCATAGTTCTTTAAAGGAAAGTTGCTAGTGGAGTCTTTGGATGGTCTTATTAGTTATTTTTGAACCTATCAAAAGTAATGCCAAGGCTTACTGGCAGATTTTCTTGCTAAAGTATAGTCACTCAAAAAACTGTTCTACAGATTGTTTTTTAGTTACCCTCTTTTGTTCTAATATGTGCAAGATATGATTTCCTGTATTAAGGTTAAAATAGTATTGTTAGTGTTTTAATTACAGTTTTCTTAAAATGTTTTCTAGATAACAGAATATACGTGTTTTAAATACGCGTCCAGAAATTCCATGTGATAAGGCTGTGTATTGTCTGCTGTGCGTTTGTGGCAGCGGAACTCCCTTTAAAGATTCCAGGATCAGTCACTGTCAGTGGGATGGAATGGAGCAGAATGGGATGGGATGGAGCGGAATGGGATGGGATGGAATGGAGCGGAATGGGATGGGATGGGATGGAATGGAGCGGAATGGGATGGAATGGAGCAGAATGGGATGGGATGGAATGGAGCAGGATGGGATGGAATGGAGCGGGATGGAACGGGATGGAGTGGAGCAGGATGGGATGGAATGGAGCGGAATGGGGCAGGATGGAGTGGAGCAGGATGGTACACGCCGGCAGGGCGCTCCCTGCCGGAGGGAGCTGAGGGCTCGGCCTTGTGGCCTCGGAGGGCAGCGAACGTGCACCGAAACCCTGGGACAGCACACATGGATTTGCTGTGCCGTCAGGGATTAATGACGGGACAGTTCAACACTGCAGAGCTCACAGGATGCACAAGTGGAGACTGGCTTAAGCTGTGAATTCCAGCTCTTGCCGCTTCACTCATGGCCTGTGTTCCCAGTCCCTTCTGCTCTCCCCCAAGGCCTGGCTTGTACGTGTGCGTCTCCTCACATCCGCACGCATTCTCAAAATAGCGCGTGCCGTGCGTTTGGGCAAAATGAAAATCTAACAACTTTGTAAGCTTTAAAAGCAGGGAGGGTAAAGAGAAATACGTGTTTAGCAGCTGTCTCACGTAGAAAGTTTCAGCCAGGCAGGGCTAACTAAACCAAAAACTTGACTGAAAGCTGAACTGGCTAGTAGACAAGACTCTTAAATCTTCCAAGAACTGACTTAACTTTGAATTCTGTTTGATTCTTTCCTTGGATGTACTGCCATGGTTTTCCACTCTTCAGTGGAATGAACAGTAGTACATTTTATGTCTCTAATTTTTTAAATAGAAACTTGGATGTTCAATTTTAAATATTAGCAGGAGGAAACAAACTGTCTGGGTTCTGTTAATGATTTCTGTGTTTGGAATGAGTGGTGTAGGCCAACAGTGGAAAGATGCCAACAGGACCATCATACTCCCAGCTTGGCAAATATCTGTATCGTCTCTAAGCATTTTCTGCCTTCGTAGTTAACACCAGAAATTCTGTAAATAGAAGTTCTGTATTCACTCTACAGCAGGAAAGAGCTGAGTAATCAATATGCTACTGAGGTTCACTTCAACATTATTTTTGTCTCATATCTTTCATAATAGATCTTCAAAGGAAAGTGTGACATTTGAGTTGATTTGTTTCTTCTTGTAAGAGGAAACAGAAATGTTTCAAAACATGTAATGATTAGCCTTAGTATTTGAGTCATGGTGATCTAATAGTTTGTGTAGTTTACTCTTTGCAAGCTGTTAAAGACAAATCTGTACACTTTGGTTAAGTTAAATCATCGTGCTTGAAGCTTGTATAGCTGAAAGGGCAACACACACACACAACAGGAAAGTAAACAAAGGTTATAAATTTGAGTTAAAAATAATGTACTCCACATTAGTGGAAAGACTTCAAAAGAGCTAAAGCAAGAGCAGCTCTTTCTCTCCAATTAAGGTGTATTTGTAAGTTGGTGGGTCCTTGTTAATTTTGCTATTTCATTTTTTAATTGTAATCCTAAGCAGGGAATAGGGAAGCAGTAATACTACCTTGGGAGAGATGTTGCACTTTGAAAAGGTAGAAGCCACTGCAGAAAGCTAATTTTCTGTGGAAAATTCTGTGGATAACTATTTCTGTACCTACTGTATTTCCTTAATGCATTTACTGTCATGTTGTCAGCGTGACAGTTTTTAAAGTGAGCCATTTCATAGTCTTAATACTTCAGCCTTCGTGCTTCTGTCATTATCAGACTTGAGCCTTCTCTCATACTTTCTGAGAAGTACAAATAAATCTGCCCATTGCCTTTTGTCCTAGATTCTTCACACCTTTAATTCTAAGTGTGTCTTGCTAAAATACACACAGACAGCTGGAGTTATCAAGACTACCTGTATCATATAGGCAATAGTGAGAATTAAACTGTAGAAGTTTTATTCTAGATACTAAAGCAACTTCACAAGCAAGTGAAGCAAGTAAGATAAGACACTGTAATGATGAGGTAGCAGTACCTGTGTTACTAATGTGTTTTGTTTCATTCCAACTTCTGAGCTTTCATGAGACTAATGAGATCAATATTCCAGTGAAGGCTTATGTTTTAAAATAAGATACGAGTTGTATACACTGTTTATACAGTGAGAAAGCGTTTTATCATTACCACTCATAATTCTTCTGCATGTATTATGCATATTGCCTTGTTCATTTATGGTTTTTGAACTATGTAATAAAGAATGTATTTGTTTCCAGGATCACAGCTCTGCTTTGTTCCAACTGCAGTGTTCTGGATAAAAATATCCTCCTGTTACGTGTTGTTATACAATAGATTGCTGCTGCACCGAAGCTGTTACTCGGAAGAAATGTGCTATACAAGGGTGTTAGAAGTAGCCTGCAATAAAGGAAGTGTTGTGGTAGAAGCAAACCAGCGCAGTGGCTAAATTGTGAAAAAAGGCATCTTGTTTGGAAATCGAATTTAATTAAAAAGCACTCTCAATCTCTAGTAATATAACTGCTTTAAATTTTCAGACAGTGGGAGTAGCTCACCGTTGCCCAAGTATGCCTCATCTCCCAAACCAAACAACAGCTACATGTTCAAACGAGAGCCCCCAGAGGGATGTGAGCGAGTGAAGGTCTTTGAGGAAATGTCGTAAGTAATGCCTTTTATATCAGCTGGTATCTGCAAAGCAGTAAACCTGTTTACTGAGCCTATTCAACTGCAGATGAATAAACTATTCCAGCTGATGGGTTTTTCAGGAGCAAACTATTCTTATAGTTTGTGCAAGAGAGAAGTTCAAGTGTTTACATTGGTGTGAAGAGAAAATGGAGTCTTTTACCTCTTTTTGTGCGTTTACAAAAGGCAACAAAAATCCAAGCAGGAAAGATAAGGTACATTAATTTCCTAAGCACTTATATAAATCTCTTTCCATGTATTTTTTTAACATTTTAAGTTTTCGTGGCTTAAGCAAAAACTCCCCTTTTCATAGTTATCCGTTTCAAGCATAGGTTGCATTTTGATGTGTATAAAACATAGAAAATGGAATGAAACATATGAAAAGTGTTCATAGATGGTAGTATGCTTACAGCATAGACTTTGCTCAATATTTTTGCTGAGCAAGAAATTGGAAATTAAACTCTTGGACATCATGTCTTTTTTCCCTAGACCCAGCAGTATTTGAGCACAGCACATGCTGTTGAGGTTGCATGCTAAGCTCCTGTGGAGGAAAGAATTAAGGAGGGGATGTTTCTTGCTCTAGCAACATTCGTTGCCTTCTGGGTGGTAAAGGGAGCAATGCTGGATTGTGGAAAAAGCCTCCAGACAAATTATGGAATATGGGAAATTAGAGGTCTGTTTTGTGGAGGTCTTCAAAGGAATTTAAAATGACTAAATGTGTTGTTGCTGCATCGCTTATCAAAGAAGAATTTGTGCCATTCTAAATTAATCGTGGCATTTTTTCATGTGCATATGTACCGCAGATTTTTCGTGCTGGAAGTTGCATGTTTGTCCAGTAATTACCAAGTCATTTTTTGTGATGGTACTATTTTTAATGCTGTGGATCAGTTAGCTGACTACCAATATGGAAGATGTTTGCCCCTCTGTCCAATTAATCCCATTCCTTGTCATTCACATTTTAGCAATGTATAGAATCACAAAGTTCATGATGTGGAGAACATCTCAGCTGGCCAGATATATAATCTTTTTTCTCGTTGTAGGTCTCGTCAGCCTGTCTCAGCCCCTCTCTTTTCATGTCCTGACAAAAACAAGGTTAATTTCATCCCAACCGGATCAGCTTTCTGTCCTGTAAAACTTCTGGGCCCCCTCCTTCCCGCTTCAGACCTGACGCTGAAGAACTCTCCTAACTCTGGTCAAAGCACAGGTTTGAGCACCCTGACTGTTGAGCAGCTTTCGTCTCGGGTCTCTTTCTCATCTCTGTCAGATGACACCAGCACAATGGACTCCCCAGAGACCCCGGTACAGCAGCCGTCCCAGCAGCAGCAGCCGCTTCTGCAGGAGATCCAGACTGAAGAGCATTCCTCTCCTCAGAGCTACGTGTTAATCTAGAGCAAGGTGGAGCAGGCCTCTGCCCCAGACAAGGAGTGAGAAGACTCTAGTCCAGAAACATCTGCATGAGGTGGCAACCTTTCAGAACACCATGGAATACTTAGCAGCATTCAAAAAAATATCTCAACACTGTTCTTGGCAGGGACAGAATTCATATTCGGCATTTTTTTGTGAGAAAGCAGTAATGCCTGCAGAATCCATATTACATTAAACGTCTTAAGTGGAGACTATGCATTTCATAGTACGTTTGACCAGATTAGTACTGTGTTCTGTGTTCTGTTTCAAATTCTACAGTATAAATAAGCTCTCTCTATATATAAAAAAAATGTTGCCTGTCTGAATAGAAAATGTCTTGCTGTGTTGTGTCCTATGGAAAATACTGTACTTCAGGATTATGTTTACAATTGATCCAGGTGTTTATGTTTCTAACTTCTGTAATACACACAATGCAAAAAAAAAAAAAAAATGGCCACAGCAGTTGCACAGTGCCCACCCTATGGCCTAGCTTCAGGTACTTCTCTTGAAGTGTAAACTCAGGTAACTTGGAATGTATATCATATTGGAATAAAAATATTTTACAGCTACAAAGCTAAAGAGGGAACATCACTCTTTTGCCTTTCCTTGTTTTATGCATTATATTTCCTCATTACATTCCACTTTCTTGGAATAAGTGCATTCAGATCCAGGTGAATGATGAGCCTGGACGTGGGTGAACATGAGGAGAACCAGCAAATCTGTGATGTATATCACTTTGTCATGTGCTTACAAGTAAAACAACTGTTGCATTTACTGTCATTTCAATAGGTGTAAAATTGTGGCATTTAAAGGTTTCAGGTGTTGCTCAGTTAATGACTGTTAAACTGTTGCAAATAAAGTGTTCAGTACTAGGCTGTACATGAGAAACATTCCACATTGTGTGTGAGAGGATTTTGAAAGACAAGAATGTTTTTGTTAAAGGACAGAAATTCTTATAGGTTTCACTGGGGGGGGCGGTGATTGGGGATTTCCTCTCATGGTTTTTGTTGGCAGTTAAGGATGTGAAATGCTACTGTTACCGTCTAAAAGTCAAATTAATGTTTAGTTTCTCTTTTGGAAATGTTCATTCATTTGCTGGTTGGAAATAGGTTTTCACATTTTGTTGAGCAGTGTTAGATGAGCAGTGTTTTATTTATGTAGTAATTGTGTTTGGATGAAAGTCCAGAAGTAGCAAGTGGGTGTTCTGAGAGGGGTGGGGAAAACAATAGTTTTAAGTTCATGTTACTTAAAGCTTCTCCCATAACTTTCAGTTACTTAAGCTGTGTGTGTAAAAGTGTGTTTTCCCCCCTCCTTAAGTGTAAATAAAAGAAAAATCCATGTAAAATAATCCTGGTTTTGCAGGCTGGACACTGTCTCAAAATAGTACATGGCGAGATTGGGTTTGTGGCACTCTTCTATTGTACTGGAAAAAGAGGAGCATTGCTTTCAGAGATAATTTCCTGTGATACAAAGAGGACCCCAAAGGCAAAATAAACTTGATGTTCTTGCTCCATTGCTTTCAGCTCAGTGGAACTGCATGTATGCTGTCTGCTCCTAAGAGAATAAGGTTCACCATTTCCAGGAATTGAAGAGATTAGTAGCCTGCAGCTACTAGGAGCATTTAAACATGCTCTTTTATGTTTTTTCTGCTTTTGAAGATGAGATTGGAGGGGGATGAGAGTGAGCCACCAGTAACTACTCACTAGATATGTGCTTTTTTTGGAGATAAAGCATTGCTTCCTTTTTATTACTGAGTTTTTGTTAATGCTGTCTTACAAGGTGGAATTCACAGCCTATAAAACATCCACTGTTTTTTGACTCCCCTTGCAGAAAATGTAGAAGGAGAGAGGTCTGTCTCTAACCATTTTCATGTGAAAAAGCTTATTGAAACACAGCAGCCATCTTTAACCCTACTAATCTCAGGCCTAGGTGAAAACACTATATATTTTGTAGACTGAAGATAAAGGGGAGAAAATACTGATGATGTAAGTATCGATTCCTTTTAATATTTTTCTTTCTAGACTAACATTGCAGTATGATGACCTTTTTATGCTCTGGCTATGTCCAGATAAGAAATTGTAGTCTCAGTTATTGGTGTTAGGTTACCAGGGGATATGATGAGTGGTTTTTAGATCAGTGCTGAACTCTGTACAATATTTGCAATGCCATTACATGTTCTTTATATTTTTTCCATGAGAAACTAAATATTAATTAAAATGCATATTTGTTCTTAGCAGAATTGGAGGTTTTGAAACAAATGTGTTAAAGTTAATGCTTTGCCATGTAAATTTCCCAGCAGTTGTTTATCTTAATTGTATTCTACATCCAGCTGTAGAAATTTGTCAAATATTGTTTAAAGTTTTGTACATAGTTGTACTGTTATTTCTAGCCACTGTGCTGAACAGTATTCAAGTTATCACACAATATTGCTTTACACGAGGAAATGTGTGGCTTTTGTTTTGTATTTTTTTTTTCGGTATAGAAGTTCCTGTGTCTTATTTAAATAAAAATTATAGTTAAAAAAAAAAAAAAGTGGTGGGGACAATACACAAAAGCAGTGGTTCATTTATTTGTTTTGGAAACTGTGCATGAAACACCATAGAAGGAGATTAAATTTTAATATTGTTCCAAATTTACATCTAGAATAATGACATCCATGTATGACTGTGTGTGCTATATCTTCTAGAACAAGATAATCTTTTATCTATTGATTTTTGCATAACGCTGTTCTCAGGAGCGGGGAAAACCCCTTAAAATAGCTGAATGTTTAAATATGCTTTAAATAGCATATTCTATTTCAACATAGCATAGGAAGAAAATCAGTTGAGAGCTATTTGAAACTGTGTATCTGCTGCTGTGTTTGTGGTATGGCTAATTTCAAGTTATCTGTTGAAAATTATGAAAGCCATTAGATGTTTCACTATGTGAAACTAAACTAAACTCCTAAAGGATGTGGTATAAATCTACTGACAGTCTTGGTTTCATGTTGTTTTGTATGACTCAAATGATTGTCATTTGACTTGCAGAATAATTCTTTCCAGATGGGGGTGTGGGGGGAAGGAGGAAGAAAGAAGGATAATATTTAAATACATGTAAATCCTCCAAAGTCAGTGTTTACTGAAAAGTACTATGGCAATAACCATCAAGAATGGATTAATGCTTATTGTCGTCAGTCAGTGGAAATTTTAAGTTTTCAGCATCCGAAAGATTACAAGGTTTCTATGTGACTGTGTTAAAAACATTAACTGGAACTTAACTAAAAGTCTAGGGCCAGAAATTGGACTTCAATAACCTTTGTGGGTCCTTCCAACATAGGATATTCTGTGGTTCTGTGATCCCACCCACCTACAAGAGTGCTTGGTGTCCTTCAGTCAGAAATGGCTTCATTTCAGCCATTTCATCATCACCTTGAAGGGGTTCCTAGGAGTAGCTTTGTGACTGTCCTGTCCCCTAAATGGACTTGGCTGCAGCAGTTTCAGGCTGTCTTTGGGTGGGAGGTGTTTTCTCAGGAAACACTTTGACAAAAGCCTGTAGCTTGCCCTGCAGAGTTGTGATGCAGTTTGTGTCACAGGGAGCTTTTAAGCATCCCCATGAACCTAGGCCTTGCCTGGTTAGTCACATTTTGGATTTTTTTCCATACGAGCCACACTTTGTATGCTGTGTGCAGCTCACTGACTCTTGTCTTCCCCAAAGCCAAAACAAGGAGTCTCACAAGCACTGAGAATAGAGAACTAATGAAATAATTTTGCCTTGAGTCCCTGTTTTGTGAATAAAAGATCTTAGCTTGAATGTATATTTTTCTAGTAATTTGTGGCTCTGAAAGTGAATGCTTCAGAGACTGGAGGTCTGTGTAAGGAGAGCCCTTGGCTCTGTGTGCTGGGGTAGGGGACAGCAGGTAGTGAGTGACCTGCTCCTTTTAGGAAACAGGGTGCTGATTGGGAAGTGATTTCTGGCTTCCTGACAAATCAGCTCTTGGGAAGGGCCAGATACTGGCCCAAGGATAGAGTCTCAGAATCTTCACAGTATGTAAGTGTAAGGAGTAACAAGAACAAGAGAAATTGTCGTGTCAGCCAACATTTCTAATTTATTCAGTTGTAGGCAAACACCATTGAGGCTTAGCAAAACCAGCTCCTCCTACCCTGGCCTTCCTCCAGGGTAGTGGATTGGGACTTTCAGACATGACTTGAGGTACAAGCCAAGCAGTTTGGAGATGACAGATAACTAGTAGAAGCTTACATCAATTACTGTTGTAAACCAGCCTGCCTTGCTGTGCAAAATACAGCCATGAAAACACAGATTTGAGGCAACTCAGCTGGGAGGAAATAGCCAGAGTTCCTGCTGAGTATGTCCAGAACCTAAATGCAAGGAAAAAGTGAATTAAAGCTGGGAGAGTATATGCATTACACATACAGTGTTCCATACTTGGTACTTGGCTGAAGGAAGTTGTTTGATGAAAGATTGACAGTTAAAATATGTGTATCTTGTTTCTGTTTGCGTTAGTGTAAACAGTCCTGGAAAACTCTGGGAGAGACTGTAAAAGGCTCAGGGAAGAGCTGTATGGATAAAGTACTGGAAAAACCAGAAGGTGGCTGTGTAGAAGCTCAACATGATTAACTTGATGGTTGAAAAGTGACTTAATTTCAGTTAGTAAATACCTACACATAGGAAATACTTACTAATGAGTTTAGCAGATGTGGAATATTAAGAAAATGAAGGTAGATGAATTCATACTAAAAATGTGTATTTGTTTAGCACTAAGTATAATGAATTACTGGGCCAACATGAAAGGAAAGATTTTTTTTTTCCAAGTATTGATATGTTTAAAATGAGATGATTTTACAAAGGATGTGCTCAAATATGGTTTTTATAAGCCTTACTAACTTGTGATTATTTTGGGCGTTTTACATTTCAGTTGATGGTTAAGAGGTGGAATTTTTGAGCTACCCTAAGAATTCTTGCCTCACAAAAGAAGGATGTGCTGCAATATTTTTCAGCTAGAGTGTTAACACATCTTTTAAACTGTCTGGAGTAGGGTTTTGAGGGGAATTTTTGGTGTGTCAAACATGAATGATGTCTCCAGTAAAGTAGAGGTAGTTGAGTACTTTATTAGTTCTTTTGATTTTGGCACCTCCTATAGCACTGTAATTATGGAGAGTTGGTAAGAAACTGGAGAGTAGGAGTTGTCTTTTTGGAGTGCACCAAGTCCCAGAAATAATGTGTTACTTGAGTGGGGTTGAGAGGAGGAGGGGAGTTCCCTCAGTAAAGGCCACATTGGAAGTGAGTGAACATGTAAGTTAAACTGCAAATTCAGTTGATGACAAGAAAGAAGAGCAATTAGATGAAGCTGGATAGAGAGGTGACCCCATTTTTAAGAATAGTTGAAATTATATCTGAGGTTGTAAGAAGTTCTGATGGGAAATTTTTAGGCTGCTTTGGTCTGTAGCCTGGAAAGCTCAGAGGCAGAGGAGCTGGAACCCTGGGAGAAGAGAAGGTTGTGTAGTCTCTTCCCACCATTGAGTTAGAGACTGAGCTTCATAACAAATCACAATTAGAGTAATAACTGCCTGTAGAAAAGTAAGGGTGTGTGTGTGAGAGATTTATTTTTGTGTATGTGCACAGTGAAGTGTGTGTGGTTAAACTTTTCAGTGCTTTGTGCAGCTGTTGGTTGAAAATAGAGTTTGCTCAGGGCAATAGTAATACCCATGGTAATCTATTTCTTGTACCTTTGTTTTTAACTTTTACTTCTCCAAATAAGTATTAAGTAAGTAGCATCATCTAAATCCCAGACTGCCAGGTGTAAGTCATGTTAACTAAAACTGAGTGCCCACCTGCTTTCCGCAGGTGAGATTTGAGTGCTCTTGAGATTTTTATGGACAGAGGTTCTTTCTCCAAGGAGAAGAAAGCTGAAAGAAATTAGACTTGCTGTTCAAGTTTGTTGCCAGAAGTCTGGGTGATGCAATTACTCCCGTTCTGAGTTTTATTTGGATAAGAATTTCTAGTTGTACCCTATCTTTGTGATGCAGAGGTTTCTCAGAGAGTAGCAGCCCCCCTTTCCATAAGTTGGTGCTATCTTTGGGCTTGTTACATAGGGAAGTAAGAACTCATTAAAGATTTAGAAAGGGTGTTGCCTTTGG